AATGTTATGTTTATTTAGAAATAGTTTTATTCTTTATCTAATTTTCAATAATTTAAATATCTGTTAATTTTTAAATATTCCTGTTTGTAGTTTGCATTTGAAAATTTCTGTACTGTTTACTTTCAAAAGTTAACATTTAATTAACAATTTTCGTGAAAAGAAACAAATTTTTTTAAGCAAACTTTTTTGTATTCGATTCGTCAATTTAATATTAAAAAACTAATTTTTCAGTTTTTCTTTAAACTGTATATTTTTTTAACAATTAATTTTATAACAAAATATGCGCATTTGACGTAACCCTAAAATAGTCCACTTTTACTTATTTTTCTCACTAATATATAGGTTTATCTTCATAAATTGTATTTCTACTGGTAAAGCAAAAACATTTTTTTCGTTTCTTGTAAAATCATGAAATTGTTGCTTGACCCCTTTTGTCATGCCACCCTTCAATTATAAATACTGTATTATACAAAATTTTTCATAAATTTCATAAAAAGTCTAAAAAAAAGTAGTTTTTTCATAACTTTTAATTCAATAATAGGTAATACTAATAATTGAATTTTAAAAAATGATAACAAAACAATTCTAAGAGTGACATTTTTAAAAAATATTTTAATATAATTTTTTGAAGCTAATATATTTTTATTAATTTTAAAATTTTCATTTGAAGATTCTTTGATTAAATTTTTTAAAAATTTGCAACTAACATTTTTAAAATTTCAATTTTCAAAAATTTTAATAAAATACTTTAAAAAATTAAATTATTTTCAAATAAAACTTTATAAAAGTTTTAGTATTTAAACAAATTTTAATTATACACTGAAAAAAATAATATTGCACTGAGAAAACTGGAGTATTGGACTAAACATCTGGAGGGACAAATCGTTCATATTTGAGAGTTAGCTATTGGATAACAATCTAAATGTTCAAATTCACCATTGACAGATATTCGTGCCATTTCTCTAACAGAGGGACAAATTAACCATCTTGAGATATCCCTTCCTTATCCGGCGCGAAATAAATAAATATGGCAACCTAACCCCTAAATTAAATACATAAAATGTCAGAAAAATAATTTCGCGCGCATCAGATCGTACACATTTTCTGCGCAACTTTTAACCCTCAGATATAATGGGAGAGAATTGGGATCTGAAATACTACGATACGCCATTTAGTGAGAGCCTTGTTGTGGTAGCCATCTTTCGTTTCGTCTCTTTCTGATATACGTTCAAGAAAAAGATAAAATCCAAGATGGTTGCCACAAAAAGGCTAAGAGGTGGGTCAGTTTCACGTGATTTCAGATCCCAATATATAAGTAGATTTCCATTATCAATTCAAAATTTATTTTAGAAAGACTATTTAACTCTCTTCATTGTTACAAACCAGAATAATAAATTTATGTTGTTCCTTTTATTCGAGCTTTTGAGATGGCTCTTATTTAAATTCGGTTTGGGGAGGCACCAAGCTGCCAGGGTCTTTAAAGCCCTGTTTAATTGTGTGGGTTCGTGATCCTACTTTTAAAAGTTACCGTTTCTGCTTTGTTTTAACTCTGATAAATAATTATTTCAATTTACTTTATTTATTTCAGGAGTTTTAAAATAAATAAAATCAGATTTGGCATTCACATTAAAATTTTATTTTAACAAGATTTTAAGAAATTTACAAACTTGCACATGTTTGAAAGAGAATTAAAGTTGAAAGTAACATTAAATCATTGAAACGATACAGACTTACCGCTAAAATCCTTAATCCTACCGACAGGGCATAATTTCTTTTAGACGGCGCAGGCGCTACGCGCGCGGACTGGCCGGTCGAGAAACAGGGATCCTCCATCGGGCAAAACACAAGTTGAATGTCGAAAATTAAGTCGTCTATGCGACCAATTTTTATTTACGCGAAGTCGCGAATTTTGTGGGGCCACTGCATTGAGACGGCGCAGGTACTAAACGTACGGACTGGCCGATTAACAAACAAGATTCACAATTGTTAAATATTTAATTAATTGGAATCTCACTCAAAACAGCTCTCACTAGACTCCGTCGGTTAGAAGATTCTATTACATTTTTCGTCTGCCTTTCGCGTTGTACTTGATATGTTATACGCGGGAGTCCGACGCGCAGACGGGCTTAGTCGCGGCATTTCCTACTTTCTTGCGATCAACAGATCTGTCAGGCAGCAGCCAGGACAGGTGTTGATCGCTTGAAGAGGAAAATTGTACAGCAGCGATAGAAATTTTGCGACAAGCCTCTACTCCTTGTCCTGATGTCAAAGTGGGGTAAATTTGTCAACTACACTGAGAGAAAAGAAGGTGCACTGCTGTTCATTTGGAGGTTGTGTATCGCAATTAAAATTTGGATCAACTGCGCACTCTTGACATGGGACGCAGTGAGCTCGCATGGTCTCCATAACCTAGGTTATTTGACCATGCGGTCTCACTGCGTCCCAAGAGTCAAGAGTCAGCAGCGCGCTCTAAAGGGGCGCGTTACACGCCCCTTTAGAGTGCGCAGTTGATCCAAATTTTAATTGCTATACACAACCTCCAAATGAACAGCAGTGCACCTTCTTTTCTCTCAGTGTATAAGGATTTTTAGAATTAGAAGTAGGGAAATTCTTCAGGCCCATTGGACTTTGCACTATGCTGACGTTTCTGATTGCATGCAGTTTTCGTGAGAACGGAAACGGCGTTGTTAATTTGATACTTATCAGAAACAATTTTTATAACTAAATATATAAATTATAATTATATTGTAAAGAAAGAATTTTTTATTTATAATTATAATTTATTTATAGTTATAAGTGTTTAATATAAGTTGTATAAATAAAGTTATATTGGTCCTACATTTTATAAGTTACTAGTATATGTATTTTGCATTCATAATTATACATATACACATATACATGCAACTTACAGTCCTCCGGCATTTTATTGTTAACAATAAGTTACAATAAAATGTTTAGCTATTATCAAATTACACAGGCCGACAAGATTTACTTTCCAAGAATCAGACAATACTTTTCCGAAGGATTTCGACGTGCTGAATCCGAATTCGGCCTTAAAATAGACCTATCACGTCAGGTTTTCGAGATATTTTAACCTAAAAGTGCAAAAAACCTGTTTTTAGTCATATTTGATGTCATGTAACATCAAGAGATAATTTTTTCATTTAAAAAGTCAATATTGCGTCTAAAAGTGCTACTCTTCTTCTTTAATATCCATTTTGAAAATTTAAAAAATCTTCATTTGTCTCTGAGTAATCGTTCATTGAATTTTTTGAGTTTGGCGAATTCTTCGAAAACTAAGTAGAAACAGACAAAACTTCGATACTAAAGCAGATTTTAACTACAAACATCTAAATTTTAAATAGTTCTGAGGATTTTCGATATAACTGAATACGAATTCGATATTAGATTCACAAAATTCAAAATGGCGTATACAATATGGCAGACGATTTATTTCAAATTGATTGTATTTTCCTCAAATATGCCATTTTGAATTCTGTTAATCTGATATCGAATTTGTATTCAGTTATATCGAAAATCCTTAGAACTATTTAAAATTTAGATGTTTGTAGTTAAAATCTGCTTTATTATCGAAGTTTTGTGTTTCTACTTAGTTTTCGAAGAATTCGCCAAACTCAAAAAATTCAATGAACGATTACTCAGAGACAAATGAAGATTTTTTAAATTTTCAAAATGGATATTAAAGGGGAAGAGTAGCACTTTTAGACGCAATATTGACTTTTTAAATGAAAGAATTATCTCTTGATGTTACATGACATCAAATATGACTAAAAACAGGTTTTTTGCACTTTTAGGTTAAAATATCTCGAAAACCTGACGTGATGGGTCTATTTTGAGGCCAGATTCGGATTCAGCACGTCGAAATCCTTCGGAAAAGTATTGTCTGATTCTTGGAAAGTAAATTAAATCAAATTTTGTTGGCCTGTGTTATTTTCTGTAAATTTGGCATAGTGCATAAAACGAATAAAATATATACGCTTCATAAAGCGTTGAGTCAGCCTCCAAATGCATGTGCATTTGTTATGATATTCTAGTCCCTAAGTATGTAGGCCTAAAGGGGAAAAGGAAGGAGAGACAAGGAAAGACAATAGGAGAGACAAGGCAATGAGCAGAGGCATGTGTAGCATGCTTGTATGTGTGCCCGTAACGCGAAGAACTCAAGGGTGTGGTCGTGTTAGATCTTTTAGCCAGCGGAATCAGTGGATGTGAACGTATACACCTAGGTCGTCTTAATGCATATGTGTGAAATGCATTACCTTTAATTATTTTCAAATAGAGGTTTCTTTTATTATATAAAATTTTAAGTATTAATAATGTTTATAAATTTATGCATATAATTTATAAACAATATTATAAAATATATAGGAATTTATGTTTTATAAATTCTGTCCTATCTTTTGTAGCTTTATTAAAAAGAAAAATAATAATAAAATAGTACCTGTTAAGTACCTTGTACGTAACATTCATAAGCAAAGGAAACATACACTTTTTGAACCTCTGAATTTGACTCTCCACACGGAGAAAAAAATCAGGGCTTTGTAGCATGGAGTGGTCTGTACCTTTAGCGCATGGGCGCTTCCTTGCGGCGAAAGAACGAACTCGTACGATTGCAGCAAGGCTCCTTACTAAAATAGGGCGAGCTCTTGCTGCAATCGTACAAATTCGTTCTTTCTCCGTAAGAAAGCGCCCATGCGCTAAAGGTACAGACCACTCCATGCTAAAAAGCCCTGATTTTTTTCTCCGTGCAGTTTTCTCAGTGTGTCGATTTTGTCATACGAGTATAGTAAGGACGTATAGCTGAAACAAAAATACTGTATTTCTGTTCTTCAAATACAGTATTTGTGTTCTTCACATACATATGGCTGTTCTACACTGCGTATAGCTGAAACGGCAATACTGTAAGGCTGTCCCATATCCACCAATATAATATGTGAGTATTATCCATATTTATGGTAGTATCATAAATATATTTTTTTCAGTGTACGCCCAATGGGAAATGCCAGTGTAGTGCCGATGTTCACCACTGGCTTAGTACTCAGACGATTGTTCGGCGTATTCTAGCCGAGCCTCGACAATTAGTGCTGGCGCAGTACAGAATTTTTGTTTCGCCAAAGCTTAGACAAGCCACGGCGGCAAGTGCTGGCTGAGTATAGAAAAATTGTTCACAACGCTCTTTGCCAACATTGCTTTTTTGACATAAACTTGAAAAAAATTATAAAAAAAGTTTATAAATGTTTATAAATATAAATTTATTGAAAAAAATTAATATTTTACTTTTCAGTTGTTCATTTTTTATTCTTATTAAATTTAATAATAACAATTTAACACAATTGTCTAACTTTGTAAATAATACATTATTTAAACAAATTAAAATTATAAACAAAATTTAAACTTTAATCTCAATAATAATTTGGTTCCTATTAAAATACTATTATACTTCTTACTATGAATAAAGTAATTTAATTTAATTATTAAAAATTTAGTTTAATTTATTATTTCTAACGTATCCCTATTTTTTTCTCATCTTTGACTCAATAATTGTATGTCTGAATGATACTGAGATATTAATACTTTTCTGTACACACGTGTCGTTAGCATAGTGGTTAGAGCGTTAGTCTGTAAGTCCGTAGGTCGTAGGTTCGAATCCCCTAGTCAGCAATTTTGTTTATTTTCATAGGTTTGCGATATTTCTAGATTCCAATCGTTAGGTACTAAAATATGAAAATCTAATGCACACTTACTGTAATTGTTTATTATTTAATTTTTAAATGTTATAAACAATTTTTTTCTACTTCATTTACTATATTCATTGTTAGTCTCCATCTTTAATACAATTTCTTTAAGAAGAGAAATATTTTATGAATAATAACTATTTATTAATATTATTTACCATTTTGTTGTTAAATTATTTATAAATTAATTATGAATTTACGACTAATTAATAACAATACGGCATTTATTGCGGCAATATTCCCAGCCAGCACTGGTCCAGTGCTGCGCCAGCGCTGTCTGGCAGCACTGACAGACAGTACTTCGGCAGCGCCAGACGGCGTTATCATCCCAGTGCCATGCCAGTGCTGGCTCTCAGCCTTGCCGCCAGTGCTGCCAGTGCTGGCGCAGTACTACGCCAGTTGTAAATTTCCCATTGGGTACATTTCAAAAATAATTTTTGAAAAATTTGACTATGATTGTTATTTTACACACTATATAAAAATAGAAATAAGTTGCACTTTATACAAAAAAGTGGTTTTTTATAATGCAACATTTGGAAGAGAAATTGAAAGAGTCGAATTTTTTGCCCAAGTCCTGAGAATTTTATTAAAGAAAAAGAAAATTAAGAATATTCTCGAAATATGAATTACAAATGCATATTATTTTGCAATTTTTTTCAAAAGAATGAAGAAAATGAAAGCAACAAATGGAAAATTAATGTATACCTATATCTATACAGTAATAATTTGTCCATGTGCATCCACTTTGAGTGCTTCATACATAGCAGAGAGAGTAAATGTACTTTGATGATTCTTTCAAAAATAGTATACACTCTATAGTCCATTTGCCATTGATGTTGAAAAGCATTTGCAAAGATGTAAATGTAACGTGACAAAATAAAGATTTATAAACATAGTTATTTCAAAAATATTTCTTGTTATGTGACGTAAATATAAGGAGCATAAACTGCATATACAAAATTATTGTATATTTTATGAAGGCATACATTAATCTTGAAAATTTTTCGCCGGACAGTAATTGAAACTGACGAGCGAATAACTTTCACGTAAATATTATGCGCAGCAAGGGAAAAATTTACCTTTCACGGATTTTTCAAAAATCAACGAAAAATTTTTTAATTCCATTTGGTTTGATATTTTTGTTGTTATTTATAGAATTTAATTAATATATGTGGACGTCCACATGAAAAGGGCCCATATTGTCGGTTCTAGTTTTCGAGATAATCGCAATTGAGTAATTTTTGATCAAAATCTTAATTTTTTTTTATTTTTTATTATCAATCTACATGTTTTGACAAGTCGAATCATGCGGTTTTCATTAATTTATCGATAATTTAACTGTTTGATTTCATTGGTTCTTTAGAAAAATGAAAAGGACCATTTTGTCGGTCATTTGCAAAAGTAATCAGTATTTTAAAAATGAAGGCGTGGAAAAATTTAAAACCTCTTGATTTTTCATCTTTAAGGTGACCTGAACTGTAAACAATTCTTATCTGAATAACTTCCCAGAAGAACCAGAGATATTCATGTTAGAGTCTTTTTTTCGTAATTGTCGAAATGAAAATTTGGATATTGCGTCAATTTTTTCATAATAGAGACTGTCAAAAAATTTTAAATAAGTTTAATGTCTATTATCTTTTTCTTCAAATGACACAATAAAATTGTACCTAATCATTAATCTTGTAAAAAATGGTTTTTTAATAGAAAAACTGCCCTTTTTAGAAAAGGGCCCATATTGTCGGTTTTTCGTATTTTCAAAATTAAGAAGAGGGGGGGGGGTGATTTAAAAATTTTTAAACCTGCTGGTTTTTTATCTTCAAGGTGCCCTGAACTGGAAACAATTCTTATCTAAATAACTTCCAGGAAGAACCAGAGATACAACAATTAGTTGGTATCGCAATCTTTAATTCCGTTTTTCTCGAAATGTGGTTTTTGGCGATCTAAACTTTGAAATTCCGTAACTCAGCGAATTTTTAACCAAAAAAGTTCTAAGACCACTCAAAATTTTCCCAGGAATACGCCCATATAGATAACTCCAATAGTGCCAAAATGGGCCCTTTTCATGTGGACGTCCACATAGTTGAAAATAAACCATGTCATTTTTTGAGTTATCTAATTTTATAAAGGAATATAATTAAGTTTTTTTAAAACAAAGGAAAAAAATGTTTATAAATTCTATTTGCCAATTGCAAATTTTAATTGAAAATGAAATTGAAAATTTTCAAAGTTTTATAAAATAAAAGAAAAAATTTTACTCATAAAAATGTTCTGTTACATTTATTTACGAATTTCTTTAATTTTAAAATTATTCGAAAACATCACACTAAAAAAAAAGTTTTACTTTCAGCCTGTTTTCGAGGCTGAATTTAAGGTGTAAACGGAGTCAGCCCCATTAAACAAGGACAGACTTATGTGAAATACATGGGCTGAATTTAAGGTGTAAACGGAGTCAGACTTTTTTTTTCCTGTGATCAATAACTTCTTTTTCAAATAAATATTTAATTATTAAATATTTTTCCACAGGAATTAAAATTTTCAAAAATTTTAAATTCAAACCTTTTTGAAATTAAGCAACTTATAAAAGTTCAATTTTTCCACAAGTCAATTTCAGAATTTGTTTAAGAAGAACATTTTTATTGCTTCTTTTTGCTACAAAAGAGCATAAAAAGTAATAACTAATCATATGACAGCAATATCAATCGCGTTTTTAATTATGGTACTTTTAGAATAAAAAATTCAATTTTTTAAAATGTTTTTAATTTGATGGTGTTCGCTGCCGCTGCGCTGTTTTCGCGTTATACATCAAGTTTAAATTTGAGGTTCTTTTGTTTTTTTAATGTTTGTCTGTTAATAACTATAAAAAAAAATTTTTGTTTGCTATACATTTTTTATGACATTATTTTCATCACATAAAGATGAGAATAAAAGATATTTCATTAAAAACAAAATTTTTTTAATTTATCCGATCCGTTTGGCTAAGCCTGACCCTTAATTAAATAAGTAAATTAGTTAAATGGTTTGGTTTCATCGAAATGTAGAAAAATAAATATTAATTGACATTTTTTTATTGTCGCGTATATTTACCGAAAAACGATATTTATCCGGTAAATTATTTTTTACATTTATAATATTCCATAAAAATAAATTGCATAAAATTGTTCAAAACTTTTATAAAAATACTAAATATGTTATAAAATTTTTTTGCATTTATTTTTTTATTTGCCCTTCGATGCAGAAAAGTGTTTTAAATATAAATAAGAATGGAAAATAATAAATAAAATTATTGAAAAAATTGCAAACATAACCTAAAAAATGAAACCGCAATTGATAAAAACAATAATGACGCAAAAAGCGTATTGATATTGATTAACCAATTTATTAAAAAATGAAAATTATTTAACACTAAACATTTATTGAAATTATTAAACTTTGCAAACTTAACCTTCTAAATAATGCTGTCAAGTTGTCGAGAATATTTTGAAAAGAATGAAACGGAATGAAAACATTTTACATAAATAGAAACAAATATTGATAAAAAAGAACACATACTTAACAATAATGATAAAGTGACCATACGTCCCGGATTGTGCGGGACTGTCTCGGATTTTTCCCCTTTGTCCCGCAAAACGACCCGCATTTGACATAAAATGTCCTGCATATCCCGGAAAATAGTTAAGAATATCCTGCATCTACAGGTTAGCACAGTAGCGTATAAGTGTGAGAGAGATAGACTTCGTGATATTTTAAGAAAAATTCAATCGTCAGAAAAATATATGATTTAATGTTACAAAATAAGCATAATATAAATATGTAAATGTCACAAGACGCGCGCTGTTTTAATCCACTCCAATTTACTCCTACAAATTCCCTGTTCCTTTTCTCTTGTGGCAAATGACCTTTTTTTTTACTAAATGATATAAATAAGCGGGCGTCCCGCATTGACACTATTTCCATATGGTCACTTTAAATAATGATTAATTTAAAGAAAACTTACGAATATCCAACTGCGAGATAAAAGAGAAACAAATAAACATCACTTTTGTGTCAATTATCGACAACATTTTTCATCAAATTGAAATTTTCCCAATATTGATTATAACACAAAGAAAATGTCCACTTCACTTCCTGTATATATAAAAATACCATTATTTTACTACGATTAATAAGCAGCTACAAATAATTGGAATAAAATTGCAAAATATATCAAATTATAGCTTTAAAATCAACAAATGTAAACAACTAACTTATATGTTCCGAAGCGAGTTCAATCGTTGCGGACAAATGTACAAAACAACATATTTATCACATACATATTATACAATCAATGCAAAATATTAATCACCGATTAATGATAATTAACTGTTATTAGTACCATAGCTAAATTTCTATCCAGGATATAGCAAAATTCACTTTTTTCTGATCATTCTCGTAAACACGTTGGTCTCCACTAAAGCTCGACCAACGTCTAAAAAGCGCCAAGATTTCCGCATTGGTCACGTGATCACAACATTGAACGGTTGAACAATCTAAATATTTCTTCTGTTTTTCATCAATTACTTTATGAAAAAAGCTTAAATATGTGTAAAATGCACAATATTTAAACAAAAACTAAATTAATTAATTAATTACTCTGATATTTTTTAATTAAAAAAGGGGCAATTACTTCTAAAATTCATAATTTTTTTGAGTAAATCAAACTTGTTAAATGAAAAGAAACTGCACAGATGTCGCTGCTTTTTGATCTGTCGGTAATTTAAAAATAAGAAATTTATATTAAAAATAATAATTATTATTATTTTCTTTTTAGAAAATACTCTAAAAATAATATTAAATTCCCTTTGGGAAAATAATTAAAACAATAGAAATTAACAAGAAAGAAATATTAATTTTGTATCATTTGGACAATCACCCCTACTGACATCTAGCGGTGAATTCTGAAAGCTTAATATCAACTTTTTGATGCGCAAAATCCGGGAAAAAAACCAACCTAAAAATTAGTATGGCGTCAATTGAAAGAAGCAGCTGGTTCAAGTCTTGATTTATTAAAATTATAAGACACAAATAGAATACAGAATCAGAAGTTTGTGTATATTTATTAAAGCACGACCAAAGTCGAGAAGATTCAAGATCTTTTATACAAAATATATAGTTGTGAAAATGTCGAACGTGTCGGAATTAAGAATGAACGTAGCGGCTTTGAAAAGAGTTGACCCTTACGTCAAGGATATCCTAGAAACCGCGACTCATGTCGCTTTATATACATTTAATGCGGAAACTAGTGAATGGGAAAAGACTGATGTCGAGGGTGCTTTATTTGTTTACTCAAGAAGTGGAGAACCGTTCAATAGTTTTCTCATCATGAATAGGTTTGTTGCTTTCTTTTTTTAACCTCCATTTTTTTTCTTCACAAAAACGACAAAATCTTGATTTATTTGGAATCTATATATTCTATATATTCGATAATTCAGAGAAATATTTGTTTATAAGTTTTATTTACTATAATTTTTAATGAATTTTATTTCAATATTTGGGGAATTTAAGTATTTTAAAATATAGAGCTCATGATAAAAATGAATAGTGAATTTAAATTTTGTAAATTTGTGATAATTATTAATTGTAAATTTTGTCAACAGATTAAATACAAAAAACCAAGTGGAGCCAGTAACACGAGGTCTAGATTTACAATTACACGAGCCTTTTCTGCTTTATAGAAACTCAAAATGTGATATTCATGGCATCTGGTTCTATGACAAAGACGAATGCGTGCGCATTGCAGCTATGTTAAATAAACTCGTTAAAGAATCAGAAAACACATGCAAAGCCTTGCCAAAATTAAAGGCACAACGTAATTCAAATAATGTAGATATTTTCAGTATGCTCAGTAAAGCACAAGAGGATTATAATATAAATCGAAGTGGAAATGATGAGTCAAGTGGAACAAAATCGCCAATGAATACAAATATTGATATGATTTCTGCATCATTGCAAGCGCCATTGGGACCTGATGTTACTTCACAAAGTGTCATGGACTTCTTTGCCAAGGCAAAAGTTAATCCCATGCATTTTAAAGCCGGCGATCAACCGGTACAAGTACACGAGAGTAAACCATTATTGGCACGTTTAATGTCACATCCAGCTGCTCATACTTTAGAGCATATTGAAAAACAACAAAGATCAACAACACCACAGCCAGTGCCCCCATCTCATCATATTACAACAACGCCCTTATCAGTTACTGCAAATGACATAGGCAACTTATCTGTAACAAACAGATCAAAGAAAAAGAATAAAGTTTCACAATTAGCCACCATTCCAGGGCCCAATGTACAAGATCTTCCGTCCACAATTGCTCAAAGTGAAACTAATGATTCGAGTTTTCTCAGGATACAATCGCCTGTAAATACATCGTCTCTATTGAATAATCATCACTCTAATCACATTATTGGATCGAGTGGCGGCAATGCTCTTACATCATTGTTTGGACAAACTTCTTCATCTGTGGTAATTATTTAAAGTCAACATTTTATTGTCAATTCAATTATCATTTTCTTCCAAACAATTCAATCACTTATTAACATTTTCTTCATTTCTATTTATTCAATAGTAGTTGAATTATTTATTTATTATTAAAATTAACCAAATTTTAATTGACTTTAATTTCAATCCAATTCAAATTATAAATTTCAGGAATCACAGACTCGCCTTTTTTAAAGTTAACCTCAAAATAAATTGTTTTAAACTTCAAAAAAAAATGCGACTTTTTTCCAAATATTCCAACAAAATACCACTTTTTTGGTATAAAATGCAACTGACTTTGATTTTTACAGTGTGAAAAATAACTACAGTCAACTCTTTCAAGAATGATTTTGAAAATTTTTTTTAAAGACAATTAAATTTTTGAAATATGTAATTAAAAAGCCTTAAAATAATTGAAATTTTATTATCCTCAAGTTCTGAATGTTCAAAAGAATGAAATTTATTTATTTCTTCTTCAAATCAAATTTTTATTACAATAATTTTACATCACTATAAAAAAAGATTAATTACTTATAAATTTTCTGAATGTAAAATTTACGTTATTAATTTTTAATGCAATCAGTAATTTATAAAAATATTTTAAAAATAAATTTGGCTTTGAACGTTCAGAACATTAGAAAAATATTATTTTGCAAAATTATATTGAAGATTTCATTTAATTTATTGAAGATAATTTCTTTCGATAAACTCTTTGCTTTTGAATTTCAGGGTGTCTACTAACCGGGAATTCCGGGAAAACCGGAAAATAACCGGGAATTTTATTTGACCAGGAAAAACCGGGAATTAGCCGGGAATTTTATACCGAACCGGGAATTTTTTCACAAAAATTAAAAAAGTTTTATTATTTTAATTTGTTTTTAAAAAATCAATTTTTATTTCAATTTTTATAGATATTTATACTGTTCTCTAAATTTAAGTTACTTAAAAATAATTAATTTGATGATAAAAATCAGTTACCAATTCAAATATATTATGTAAATAAATTTTTAAAAAATTATGGAGTTAATAGAAATATTGTGAAATTTGACTGAAAATATGTAATTAAATTTGTTAAAGAAATCATTAGAAACTTTTTAACAAATAGAATTTTCAAAGTATTTTAATTTAATAATTGATTAATAATTGAATATTATAAAGAGTAAAATTCTAATGTATTCATGTTTCTTACTGCGAAAATTAATAATTAAAATTTTTATTAGTTAATTTAAAAAAATATACATACTTAAAATTGTTTAATGAAATTGAACTTTCGCAAAATTTTTTTTAAATCTAAAAAATAAAATTGTTGTAATTTTTCAAATCTATTGTTTCAAGATAATTGAATTTTTCTAAACAAATCATTGAAATTTTTTTACTTTTTTTGAAAAATAATTGAATTTTTTTAAAGAATTTTATTTAAATTTTTCGAAAATAATCAAGGGAAGTTAGTGACCATAATTATAATTTTATTTTTAAAATTTTAAGTCCCTCTTACAGTTTTAAATCAATTTTTTGCTTCTAAAAATTATACTATTCTATTATTATTTAATAATTATAATTATTGAACTTCTCTTAAATTTTTATCATTTTAAATTTCTGAATGTTCAAATAAATGATATTTATTTATTTCTTGAGCAAATTAAATGTTTATTACATATTAAGTAAATAATTAATTATTGCTGCTTATTATTTTCAAAAATTTTAATAAAATTCTTCACAAAAATTAAATTATTTTCATAAATAATAGCATTCTTTGGAAGGATTCAATTATTTTTATAAATAGTAAAATTCTTTGCAGAAGTTCAATTATTATCAGTGTAATTTTAATAAAATTGAAAAATCCAATTTTCAATTATAATTATAAAGAGACAAGATTATTTTTAAAAACTTGAAAAAATTCTTTGTTTAATTCAAGTATTTTCCAAGTTTTTAATTAAAATTATTGAAAAAAACATTATTTTCAGAAAATTTAATGATTTATTTATGTTTAAAATCAAATTTAAATTTACATTTGATAAGAAAAAAAAACCGGGAAAAAATTAGGATATAGCCGGGAAAAACCGGGAAATAACCGGGAATTTTGTTAAACGAAAATAGTAGACACCCTGAATTTTTGAAAATCAAATTTCAAAGAATTTTAATCGCAAATTTTGAAAAAATTGAATTCTCAGAAATTTTAATATCAGGCATCACAGTTGGTCCCCTTTTCCCCTTTTGTCCCCTTTTAAAAATTTTGTCCCCTTTTCCCCCTTTTTTGATGATTTGTCCCCTTTTTCCTCTTTTTCGGTGATTTGTCCCCTTTTTCCCCTTTTACTGATCAGAAATAAAATTTTTTAAAATATATGTGGACGTCCACATGAAAAGGGCCCATATTGTCGGTTCTAGTTTTCGAGATAATCGCAATTTAGTAATTTTAGAGCAAAATCTTAATTTTTTAAAAATTTTTTATTATCAATCTACATGTTTTGACAAGTCGAATCATGCGGTTTTCATTAATTTATCGATAATTTAACTGTTTGATTTCATTGGTTCTTTAGAAAAATGAAAAGGGCCCATTTTGTCGGTCATTTGCAAAAGTAATCCGTATTTTAAAAATGGAGGTATAGAAAAATTTAAAACCTCTTGATTTTTCATCTCTAAGGTGTCCTGGACTGTAAACAATTCTTATCTGAATAACTTCTTAGAAGAACCAGGGATATTGATGTTAGAGTCCTTGTTTTTGTAGTCATAGAAATGAAAAATTCGATATTTCGTGAAATTTTTCGTAATAGAGACTGTTAAAAAAATTTAAATAAGTTTAATATCTACTCTTTTTCTTCAAATGACACAATAAAATTGTACATAATCATTAATCCTGTAATAAAAGGGTTTTTTAATAGAAAAACTGTCCTTTTTAGAAAAGGGCCCATATTGTCGGTCTCTCGTACTTAAGTACGAAATTTTTCAAAATTAAGAGGGGGGAAGGTTTTAAAAATTTAAAACTTATTGGTTTTTCATCTTTTAGGTACCCTGGACTGTAAACAATTCTTATCTGAATAACTTTCCAGAAGAACCAGAGATATTGATGTTAGAATCTTTTTTTCGTAATTGTCGAAATGAAAATTTTAATATTGCGTCAATTTTTTCATAATAGAGACTGTCAAAAATTTTTAAATAAGTTTAATATCTATTCTTTTTCTTCAAATGACACAATAAAATTGTACCTAATCATTTATCTTGTAAAAAAATGGTTTTTTAATAGAAAAACTGTCCTTTTAGAAAAGGGCCCATATTGTCGGTTTTTAAATTAATTAATTAATTAAGGGGAGGGGGTGGTTCTAAAAATTTAAAACCTGTTGGTTTTTTATCTTCAAGGTGCCCTGAACTAGAAACAATTCTTATCTGAATAACTTCCAAGAAGAACCAGAGATACAACAATTAGTTGGTATCGCAATCTTTAATTCCGTTTTTCTCGAAATGAGGTTTTTGGCGTTCTAAACTTTGAAATTCCGTAACTCAGCGAATTTTCAACCAAAAAAGTTCTAAGACCACTCGAAATTCTCCAAATTTTGCCAGGATTACGCCCATATAGATAACTCCAGTAGTGCCAAAATGGGCCCTTTTCATGTGGACGTCCACATCTTTCAATGTATGATCATAAAATTTATATTCAATTTTTGAATTATCAAAAATTTTAATGGAAAATCTTTAAAGGTAAATTTAAAAATGAAAATTAATGAAAATGAGCTTCTAATTTTTTTAAATTCAATATTTTCAGTATTTTCAATTACATATTTCCAAAAATTCAAATAAATTAAAAAATAATAATATTTTAGAATTATTTTTTACATTTTGGAGAAAACAATTATGTTCAAAATATTTAATTAAAATTTATCAAAAAAAAATTAATTAGTTTTTTTAAATTATACAAAAATTCTTTTTAGAAATTAAATTATTTTTGAAAAATTAAATTAAAATATTTTTAAAAACTAATGATTACAATTGTTTTATAATAATTTTTTAATATTCAATTATTTTCAAACAATGTAAATAAAAATTCTTCAAAAATTTGATGATTTTTATCAATATTTTTCAAAAATTCAATTATTTTTAAAAGATTTTACCAAATTTTAATTGTTTGGAAATTTTCCAAAATTGAAAAACTATTATCTTTTAGAAATTATTTAAAAATGTTTTTAAAAAAATTAATTGTAAAAATTTCTTTATAATTTTTTGAAAACATTATATCTTAAAAAAAAATTATGGAGAGTTACAATTATTATAAAAAAATTGAGTTTTTGTATTTCAATTGAATTCTAGAAGAACTTTTGGAAAATTATTTAAATTAATAAATTGATTCACAGATGAAGTTAAGTTTAAAATTGTAGAAAATAATTGAATTCAGGAAGGATTATAATTGTAATTTTTAGAAATTATTAAAATTCGAATAAATTTTACTCATTTTCCGTAAACATTCATATTTTCCTCTAAAAAGAATTTTGATAGGGAAAATAATTTTAATGTCAGTAAATTGTCAGGGAAATTGATAAACTGAAACTTGTGACTACCTTGTATCCTTATTAATAAAATCAGATGTCTGTCTGTACATTGCTTAAAACTTCAAAATGTTAACATGATTAGTTATTATGGACATCAGAGATTCCAAAAATGTTCTTAAAAAATTTAATGTATGTATGTATGTATGTATGTATGTATGTATGTATGTATGTATGTATGTATGTATGTATGTATGTATGTATGTATGTATGTATGTATGTATGTTTGTCTGTCACAAAAACTTTGTACCCCAATCACACAAAAACATGTGAATCGATTTAAGTCCAACTTGGTAGGTTATTAGGTATTGACCCAAGGAAGGTTTATAAATTTACAGATTTAAAAAATATTAATTAGAACGGGAGATATTCAATTTTTTCAAAAAATTCAAAAAATCGAAAATTTCAAAATTTTTTATTTTTCATGGATTGCTTTTGAAGTTTATATACTTGAGTATTATATGTTATTTAGTCACATTATAGCATAACTTTGCAAAAAATAAAGTCCTATAACTAATATGTAAGTATAAAAATGTTTTCAAAAAATCGAAAATTTCAAAATTTTACATTTTTTTATGGATTGCTTTTAAACTTTCTATATTTGAGTATTACATGTTATTTGGTCACATTTTAGCATAATTTTTCAAAAAATACTATTCTACAACTAAGATGTAAATATAAAAATATTTTCAAAAACTTGAAAAATGGAAAATTTCCAAATTTCACAATTTTTAATGGATAGCTTTTAAACTTTCTAAAAATGAATATTATATGTTATTTAGTCAGATTTTATCATAATTTTGCAAAAAATACTATCCTACAAGAAATATAAAAAAATTTTCAATATATCAAAAAATCGATACTAATTACTATATGAAGTATAATTCAGTAGTATTTTTGGAGTCTCTGATTAATATTTTGATGTCAAAATAGTGCAATTCAAAATTATTTATCAAATCAATCTAATATTTTCAAGAAGTTCAGAAATATTGAAAATGGAAATTTTTTATGATTAAAATGATTTCGCAGGATGTCAAGAATTGTAAGTCACCTGTGATACAATACAAGCATATTATGCCACTAGGCAAAAACTTACATGTTAAAACGTTTTTTCATTTTAACTCTAGATTTAACTTTAAGAGATGTTTTGAGCAATGTAAAGACAAAAGTTAACACGGTGTCTATTTTTGTTTAACAAAATTCCCTGCTTTGTCCAAACTTTTCACGGTTTATCTCTTTTTTGTCAAATTTAAATTTACTTGATTTTATCCATAAATAAATCTACAAATGGCTATAAAAATTTACTTATTTTATGAAAATACTGTTTCTTAAGTTCATATAAATATAGATTGTATTACTTGCTGTCGTACAGTTTTCTGTTTATACTAATACATTTAACTGGGTATCTACCAAACGGGAAAAACTGTAAAAAGCTGGGAATATGCCGAACCGGGAATTTTCCTATCAAATTAAGAAAAAGTTTCATTATATTAATTCGCTTTTAAAAAATTGCTTTTTACTTCAATTTTTATTGATGTATAATATTTATGAAAACAGACCCGAGTCAAAATTTAAGCCCTACTTTCAGCCTAAAATTTAGGTCTTATGTTAGGTTTTAGCAGTCGTAACGTAGGGTCTACTTGCGATACAATTAGTTCCAATTAGACTCTACTATAACTCCAAAAACTGTATGGAAAATTTAATTTTTTTAATACATTAATTAAAGTACTACAAATTGATAAATATTGTTCTCTGCATTTGAATTGGTTAAAATAACTAATTTGATAACAAAAAGTCAATCACTGATTCAAATAGTAATATTTTCCTACTAAAATAGCTATAATGGTAACTAATTATTATTTTTTTCCGGTCAAATTAAATTCCCTAGCTATTTCCTGATTTTCCAGATTGGTAGAAACTTAAATGTATTGGTAGAAACTAAAACCCGTCGAAGACGGGTACGACAGCTAGTATTATATTAAAATTAAATCAATTAAAAAAAAAATATACAAGCGATATTTTTCTTGAAAATTAATATTTGTTTTTTCTGAAAATTTTAGTAATAAAATTTCAAGTTTTTAAATGTTATAAATGATTATTTTTTTAAAGACTAAATTTCTTTGGATAAACTTTCTTAAATGGCTGTAACACTCTGATATAATAGAAAATTGTATTTTCCTATTGTTTATGTGATGTAAATATTTAAAAATTATCTTAATATTAAAGTTATTTTCTACCAAAGAATCCAGAACTGTAAAAAATTTGTAAGAATTTAACTCATTTTAATTTGTTGTTTGGTATATTTTTTGTCCCCTTTTTGTCCCCTTTTCCCCTTTTTTGATGATAAAAGGTACTGTGATGCCTGTAATATTGAAAAATCTTCAAATGGAAATTAGCTTTAAAACATTCTTTTAAGAAATTCGATTATTATCGAAAAATTACATTACAATATTTAAAAAAAAACTAATTCTTAAAATTCTTTTATCATAATGTTACTTTAAAAAAAGTAAATTAAAATTTTTAAAAAATCTACTGTTTTAGACTTATTATTAAAATTTTGGTGAAAACAATTAGGTACTTATTTCCAAATTTTTTAATTAAAATTTTTCAAAACATTGATTTTTATCTTTCAAAAATTATTATGTAGCCCTTCAATTGTGTTCATACGGTGTTGTTGATCACATTTTCGACAGGGTTTTGAAAAAACTAATATTAAGAATTTTTCTATATTAATTTTTTAAAAATCAATTTTCCATATTTTCTGATAAGTAATTTACCTTAGTAACTTCTAGGAAAGAACCATAATGAGTTACAGTTACAATTAAGGCTCCGCATCTTAAAAGGGCACTTTTACCATGTTAAATCAATGCTGAAAGTGCCCTTTTAAGATCCGGGGCATCAATTATTATTAAAAAGAATTGAATTTTTGTATTTAAATAATTCAAGTTTCGATGAAGTTTAGTTAAAAATTTTAGAAAATAATTAAATTTTGGAAGGGTTACAGTTGCAAGTTTTAAAAATAATTAAATTTCAGAAGCTTTGAAATAAAAATTTAAAAAATTTAATTTTCTTGTGGAAAAATAAAATACAAGTATTTAAGTATTTATTTAACAAAATTATTAAAGTTTTAAATAATTGAGGCGCATGATTATTCCCCAAATTTCATTTGTCCGAACTGTCATTTTACCGAATTGCATTTATCCAAACTGTTATTTTAACGAAATGTCAGTTTTGCGAATCAACGTTTTTACGAATTGTCACTTTTGCGAAAACTCATTTTTGCGAATTGTCATTATTATGCGAACTGCCATTTTCGAATTGTCATTTTTACGAAATGTCACTGTTGTGAATTGTCATTTTTGCGAAAATTGCTATAGTAAATCTATATAAGCCTTTTTATAAGCATACAAGTTTACTATAGCAATTTTCGAAAATATGACAATTCGCAACAGTGACATTTCGTAAAAATGACAATTCGAAAAAATTGTAGTTTGCATAAATGACAATTCGAAAAAATGACTTTTCGCAAAAGTGACAATTCGTAAAAATGGCGATTCGCAAAAGTGACATTTCACATAAATGACAATTCGAAAAAATTACATTTCGGAACAATAACTATTCGTAAAAATGACAATTCGCAAATATGACTTTTCACAAAAGTGGCAATTCGTAAAAATGACGATTCGCAAAAGTGACATTTCGTTAAAATAACAGTTCGGATAAATGCAATTTGGTAAAATAACAGTTCGGTCAAATGACATTTGGGGAATAATCATGCGCCTCAAATAATTGACTTTAGAAATGAGTGAAGAGTCAGGGAAATAAGAAATGAATTTTTTCTGAACCTTAAAGTCAATCAGAGGCCTGAATTTTGTAATTTTCTGTTATTCCATTTTAGATTAAATTGAGAATTGCTTTTTCAGATGACAGAAGATGTGATAAGTTCACCGATAACGCCAAGACAGGGAACAGCCTCAGGAACAAATTCAGCCCCAGCATTAATACCGCCAGTAATGTTCGCTGCTCCCAGTCCTGCCGAACCAGTAAATCGACCTTTGGAACCCCTCACAAGGAATCAATTGCTCCAAGCAGTCAGTTACCTTTTAAGGAGTGATCCGGATTTTGTTAATAAACTTCATGAAGCTTATGTCAAGTCTTTCAGCGAGATTTTGTCCTAGGGAAATGGAACCTAGTAAAAAGAAAACGAAATAAAAAGAAAAACTACGGCTTGGACACGGCGATCGGGTAGTGTTGTCAACGTAAACGAAAAACAAAACGAGGTAAATTTAAAACTAATTGGAATTAAATAAGTAAAACTTACGTCTATTTCTGTTACAAGCGAATAAAAAAACGTAAGTGTATTAATTGTAACCAGCCTTTTCGGGTTTGGAACTAAGAAAATATTAAAATTTCCATACCTTGAAACAGTATTTTTATAATGTAAATGCATTTTTTCTTAAAGCATAATCAAAGGTATGAGTGATGGGCTCCAGTGATTGTTAATTAATAATTTTTTTTCTCTTTAAAAAATCAAGCCCATTCTGCAAATTTGTTGATGATAAAAAAGTGTTATTTGAAAAAAGAATTTAATTTTTATGCCTCTTTGATAGTAAATTTGGTCGAGAATTATTTTTTCTCTCTTTTTAAATTAATAAAAAAACGGCCCAATAATGATTTTAATAGCGTGATATGCCGAGAATAAAGAAAACAACATTTTATGATTGCTATTTCGAGAATAGTACGACAATAACGTCAAAAAAAAAAAAAAAATACTTGCGCGAAATGCACATGTTACATTAAAAATGCAAAGATTTTCTTTCTTGTGATAAAACAAAAAATATGCAAAATTGTTAATGCATGAAGCATGATTTGAAAATTAAGATTGTACAATTCTAAATGAAACATGACTTTTGTTAAATGTACATCAAAAATCGACACATTCTTTGATTTAACTATTGAACAAACAAAAAACATCAATGGATGATTTCAAGAATGGAATGACAGGAAAAGAAATTTGGATAAACAAGAATAAAAAACAGAAAAAAGTGTAAAATCCTTGCAGTGTATTTCATTTTTGACATGAATTTTTTTTCGCAGTGGATCACAGCAAATATTACAGGCAAACTCATATTGTCATCATGAAATTAAAAAAAAGAAAAAATATGGTACGTGGTCAATAACACTGTCTTAATAATTATGCCGTATTATCACAAAAAAAATTATTATTTTACAATGGAATAAATTGGGGTTGTGCGAAACAATCTTCCTTTCGCGATATTCAACAGCTAAAAACTAACAATAAAAAAAAGAAATTATTTTTCTTTTTTTACGCGACGAAATTATTTATATAAATACAAAATCAATGATTGTTGAACGCTCTCTTTTATCTTAGAACTAAGCACTGCGCGTTTCACAAACAATTAAATCACTTTGAAATGCAAAGACGAGACACGAGCATGGGCAATCATCGTATTAATCATTTACGCTGAACTTCGATCCTTACAAAGTGATAACATTCATTTCAACAACCCCTTTAGCTCTGTGGAATGTCTCTCATTCGAATTTTCAATTATATATATATATACCTATTTTTTTATTTATATATATTTTATTGAAAAATCGTCTCAGCGTTAATTATTCACAGATTTCTTTGTTTTTTATTTACAAAATAATAAACTTTTTAGATATAATTTTTACTTTTAAAAAAAATCTAAATTTTTCAAAAGAAAACAATTTTTTTCTATATTCTGTCTGAATTTTCCAAAAATCTGTTTTTAAATAAAATACATTTTTTTAAAAGTAAAATTTTTCTTTAATTATTAAATTTGAATTCTATACATTACAAAAATTCGGTATTTTCAAATTAAAAAAGCTGTCAATTTATCGCTCTTTACGTTTCAATGGACAAAGAAATAAATAGATAGATGCTAAAAGAATAATTTAGAAATGAACCACAATATATAATAGAGTAAAAAAGCATAAGTAAAGCCTCCACTGTCAAGAGATCTTTTGCCACAATTTAAAAAGATTCTGCAAGTTTTCTTTTTTTTAATTTGCAGTATTTTTTACACAAAAAATTATTATTTTATAGTATAAGTTGTTTATTTTACAAAAGAAACCAATTTTATAAAAATTTTTCACAATAGAAATTATTTTATAAAACTGTTTTTTACGAAAGAAATTATTTAAAAAACTAATTTTTTTACAAAAGAGACTATTTTATAAAAATTGTATTCTTTTTACAAAACGAATAAGTGTTTTTATAAAATATATTTTTATACAAAAGAAAGTTTATCGAAATCATGGCTAATTATTATTATTATTTACGTCATTGGACATTATGCAATTTCGAATTATCAATTCAACTAAAAATGACAAATTTCATCATGAAATATTTATGTCTCTCTCTTTTTTTCTCGCTTTGAGGAAAATGCGCGAGTCTTATTTCTAATAGTTACAAAATATATATATTTATTTATATAATAATAATAATAATAATAATAATAATAATATATAACATGTTGGTACGCGAAGAATAGTAAAGATATTTTTTTATACATTATATAATATATATAATTTACACTGATGTTTTCTTCAAGAAAAAATTCACAGCCGAGTGGAGCCATTTGGGCTCACAGCTTTCAAGGAGTCTTCGGATCCTTCGTATTTCTTTATTTAAAACTTAAATGCACTTTTTTTTTATTTACAAAATAACGAAGACTAAGAGAGATTAAAATATTTTTAAAATTATTCTGTACTCATTGTTAAAAAAGTTTTCTTTTAAATAAAAAAATGCAAAATTTTTCAATTTAAGAAATTACTTTTTCTTTAAAATATGAAAAGATTTTCTTTAAAATTAAATTCTTTTCTATTTCTTCTATATACATATTTTTTTGTTTAATTAAAATAAAGCCATTTTTCTAATTAAAAAATTATAATTAATCTGTATTTGAAAAATTAAAACCAAATAAAGCAGAGAATTTTCTGTTTATTGTTTTTGTCGAGAAATAAAATGGAATTTAATTTTTAAATAAAGAAACTTACGAATGAAATTAAATTAAACGAGTGAAGTTTTTTATACTAAAAAAGACAATTCTAGAATGATAGAAATAAAAGTCTTTGGATCCTTTCGAAGAGGTCTTTTTTAGACCAAAGGCACTTTCGGTGTTCCCAGTAGAGGTGGAGCGTTATCGGGCATTCGATGTGGGCCCAATTTATCAATTTGATTTGGCAATGGTTGAAGCAGCCTAATCGCTAAGGTCGCCAAAATTAGAAGAACTATAAGGCCGCAAATTGGCACTGCAATCGTCGCAGTTCGGAACCAGCCGTCTGTATTCTGTATTCCTTGGCCCGTTGGTTGAATTGGTCCCAAAAAGGCCCTCGAATCACCAACTAACACTGTAAGAAAATGTATGTATGTAATTAACCTTTATATTAATTTATTAATAACAAATTATTTTTCAATTGAGCTCCCGCGTCCAATAACTCGATCTGCGCTTGAACTAAAAAATTCAAGCCAGTCAAGCCGTCAGAAAATGGAAAAAATAAAAGTCGGAATTTTTAATTTTAAAACATACTACCGTATAGAGCATAAAAATGCCCAACTTTTTTGTCTTTGAAATTTTTTTGTAGGACTTTTATTTTTAATAATAATGGACAAAAACTGAATTTTTTTTATTCTTCAATTTCATTGAATTTCAAAACATAAATCGACTTTTCTCAAACAAATCTTAATGAAATTAATTAAAAATTGATATACTTACTTATCAGGGTCTACCGAAGACAATGAAATGATTGAAACATTAAAAAATGTTTATTGCAAAATTATTTGTTAATATAAACACAGACCTGTCGGTAAATACGTTTTCTCAACTTTAACGAGAAAAAGTGTGCGGTGAACTTTCGAGTTGACAAAACTTCCAGTGAGACATTTGTTTATTAACATGTGAAGAAGTTTTTTGGAAATTTTTATTTAAATCAGATGAAAAATAAAGATTATACATAATGTTTAAAAAAATATGCGTCGTGCGGCGTTTTGACATTTTGACGCAAGAGGAGAAAACTATTGAAAACTATTGCTATTTTCTATTGATTTATTTAAAAATAAGTTTATTCATGTATTATATTTAAAATAAAAACAATTCTATACATTTATAACATGATAGGCAGTAAAAGATTTATTTAGATTTACAACGACAATAAAAAAAATAGGAAAAAGTTAAACAAATGCGCGATACATAAAATTACCACCAGAGGGCAGCACCTAATGGGCACATCTAATTTTCTCATTTTACCTCCTGACGTCGTGTATTATATTGGATTTTCAATTCCTTGTGCACAAATGAAAGAACAAAATTTTAGTATAACTAGTATTTTTCCCTATTTTTCAATAATTGTCCAAATTAGGAGAAAAATCCTTTTGAAATTTCGTTTACGTTGAAGCAGCCATTTTTAAAAGGCGACCACTGTTTGAAATTGCGCAACACCGTTAAGGGCATTTGAACCTTGATGACGTCACACATGCTTTGCACAAACTGTAACGTCATCAAGGTTCAAATGCCCTTAATGTAAACAAAGCAGGTCCTTGTATTTTTTTGAAGAAAATACTGTTTACTTTATTACTGCTGTTAAGATTTTCAATAAACCACGTGTTTTAAAATTAAAAATTAATGGTAAAGTGATAATAAAAAATTTAATAATATTAAAATATAAAGTATAGAAATTGTACAATTGTATAGTATAGTTAGTTATAGTATAAATTAATAACAATTCTAAAGTATAGAATTGTTTTTATTTTAAATATAATACATGAATAAACTTATTTTTAAATAAATCAATAGAAAATAGCAATAGTTTCCAATAGTTTTCTCCTCTTGCGTGAAAATGTCAAAACGCCGCACGACGCATATTTTTTTAAACATTATGTATCTTCTTTATTTTTCATCCGATTTAAATAAAAATTTCCAAAAAACTTCTTCACATGTTAATAAACAAATGTCTCACTGGAAGTTGTGTCAACTCGAAAGTTCACCGCACACTTTTCCTCGTCAAAGTTGAGAAAACGTATTTACCGACAGATCTGTATTTATATTAACAAATAATTTTGCAATAAACATTTTTTAATGTTTCAATCATTTCATTGTCTTCGGTAGACCCTGATAAGTAAGTATATCAATTTTTAATTAATTTCATTAAGATTTGTTTGAGAAAAGTCGATTTATGTTTTGAAATTCAATTAAATTGAAGAATAAAAAAAATTCAGTTTTTGTCCATTATTATTAAAAATAAAAGTCCTACAAAAAAATTTCAAAGACAAAAAAGTTGGGCATTTTTATGCTCTATACGGTAGTATGTTTTAAAATTAAAAATTCTGACTTTTATTTTTTTCCATTTTCTGACGGCTTGACTGGCTTGAATTTTTTAGTTCAAGCGCAGATCGAGTTATTGGACGCGGGAGCTCAATTTCATTGTGGTTATTATACCTGCTAAAGTGGAACAATAATTATTTTGTTTCTTTTACATCTCGTCTTTTAAAATGTTTCCATAAAATTTATAAATAGTAAATTGAATTTTATTACAATTTGGAAGAAAAAGTTAAATAACCATTTGTTTTTTCGTTACAGTGGAAAATTGGTTGACTGGAATCGAAAAGGATAGTTTTGTTTCTACCATAATAGGGATTTTTAATTTTTGTGAAGAAACAAATTGTCAGGATTGCAGAATAATTTTCTTCAGACGAAAATCCATTCTCATTCTGTTTTCGTCGTAAAAAGTAAAATAGGTGACTCTTAGAATTTTTTTACTAAAATTTTTTTAAATTCAATTATTTTCAATAGGTATTTTCAATTATATATTTCGGAAAATTCAAATATCTACAAAAAATAATTACTAATAATTATTTTTTTAATTATCTTTATAAATAAGATCAAACTTTTGTCTGTACATTGCATAGAATTTGAAAATTTATGTTTATAGTTATTCTATTCGAGTCAGGCCTCCCACTCATGCCACTATTGACACTTTTTGACACTTTTTTCAGTTGATGCCACTATTTAGCTACTATTTTGAAAAAAATGCCACTAAAGACACTATTTTCAACTCACATGTTTAACTTTTAACCTTTAATGTTTAATTTTTAACTCAGGGTGGCCACCAGGCATTGAACTTTGAAAACTTGGAATTGGATGTGAATTTTGTAAAACCTTGAAATAACCTGGAATTATGCTTGATTTTTTCTTAAATCTTGAATTTTACTAATTTTATTGATAAATAAATAATTTTTTCTGCTTGTGAAATTTATATTTTTGTATGCAGAATGCAATTTTGAAACCTTGAAAATTTCTTAAAAACCTGAAAAAACCGTAGATGCCAAAAAAATTACGTTTAAATTAATTACCTGCAAAATTTTACTACAGCTAATTGCGCAGTCTGACTGATCGCTATATTGGACATTATTTTATTATATTATAATATTGAACAAATCTTATAAATATTATCTATCTTTAGATTTTTCACGAAATAGGAAGCTACTATCGGCTCAAAAAATTTGTATACCCTCTAACTTTGAAAACTCATAATTAAGTAAAAAAATTCTTCTGGTCTTAAAACAACCTACATATCAGTAGATGCACTATTCCTACCTTACTATGAGGCATTCCATTTCAAAACGACCCCCTTCGTAAACAATTGCCAATGTAAGACAATTTTTAAATGAATATTTCTTCCATTCTGTAGAACCAAATTACTTTTTATATTAGTGATTTCGAAAGTAGAATTTCTGAACTTTCTGATAATAAAAAAGTATATTTTTTTAATAATTTAATTTAAATAGAAAATTGAGTTAAAAAGTTAAACTTTGAAAAATCTCAAAACACGTTACCTCCGATTTTAATAAAATTCATATCAAACGAAAGCTTGAATATTCTTCTTTTTATTTGTCAAACGATAATAATGGACATCTCAGTAGATTTTAAGAAAATAATTAAATTTCACAAACATTTCGAAGGTTATATTGAGAAAACCATTTATTAAGTATAGGGCGGCATTTGTTTTTCCCAATTTATGCATAATAACCTTCTAAATGTCTGTAAAATTTAATTATTTTCTCAAAATCCACTGAAATGTCCATTATTATCGTTTGATAAATAAAAAGAACAATATTCAAGCTTTCGTTTAATATGAATTTTATTAAAATCGGAGGTAACGTGTTTTGAGATTTTTCAAAGTTTAACTTTTTAACTCAATTTTCTATTTAAATTAAATTATTAAAAAAATATATTTTTTTATTATCAGAAAGTTCAGAAATTCTACTTTCGAAATCACTAATATAAAAAGTAATTTGGTTCTAAAGAATTAAAGAAATATTCATTTAAAAATTGTCTTACATTGGCAATTGTTTACGAAGGGGGTCGTTTTGAAATGGAATGCCTCCTATACAAAACTGCACAAAAAAATTTTTTTTGCATCAATAATTTATTTTATTTTATTTTATTTAATTTACACGGGAAAATCCCTTTCGTACAGAAGTACTTATAACCTATGGGTACTAATTTCATTCAAATGCAAACGCTGGCATACAGTTCACACAGTCATGAAAATGTGATTTCTCAGGCTATTGATAAATGTAACCAGAGGCACACCGTAGAAATCTATAACATTGTGATACTCATTAGCCTCTCTAGTTATTCTAGCGATCACTGAATTCAATATAAGACTAGTTTTAAGAAATGACTCCTTGAATAGAGTCGGATTTCTGGAAGGTTTAAATGGAACTGCAAAATTTAATAACGATAATAAAGGTGAGCAATTTATAATACCATTGATTGTCTTAATCAAAAAAAGTAAGTCTGAAAAAAGAAATCTGTTCCTTAAGAGTGGTATTCCCAAAATCCGTCTCAACTCAGAATAGTCATGACTATAATAATCAAACGACATTCCCGTCTGCCTCGCAACAAAACGCATAAACTTGTTTTGTATTCTTTCTAATTCTATCATAAGATAATCTTGATAGGGTGACCAAATGATTGAGGCAAACTCAATAATTGATCTTACCAAAGAAAAATACAAAATCTTCATTGCTAGTATGCTCTTAAAGCGAGTCGCATTTCTGGTAATAAAGCCCAAGGTTCTGGTTGCTTTATTAATGGTTAATAAAACATGGGATTTAAGATTCAAAGATGCATCAAGCAAAACACCCAGGTCCCGAATCATGGAGACCCGTGAAAGAATTCTATTGCTTATAGTATAATTATATTTTAATAGGTCAGAGTTTTTTTTAAACGAGATAATGAAACATTTATTATTGTTAAATAAAAGCTTATTTCTAAATGACCATCCCACTAGTTTATTAAGATCTGATTGAAGATTATAAAGGTCTTGATTACAGGTAATTTTATTAA